GGAATAAGGGGAGAGTAATGGAACCTATCAGAGAGATCATTGAAAGGATCTACAACATACACAAAGAGAAAGTAATAAGAAGCTGGCGGATATCAAACTGTGAGAGGATTTGTAATCCATAGAAGGGTAAATAAGAAATAATAAGGATTATAAAAGATTACTATAAACAATTGTACACCAATAAATTAGATGACCTAAATAAAGAGAGGCTTTAGTGGTAATGTCCCTGCTCTCATTTTTGAGTTTAGTTATTGGTGTCTTATCTTTTTCTTTTTATTTAGTCTGTCTTGCTAGACATTTGTCAATTTTGTTGATCTTTTCAGAGAACCAATATTTGGTGTCATTGTTTGTTGTATTGCCAGAATCTATTGGACTTAATTCTCTTTTTTCATTTATCTCTGCTTCCATTTATTGTCTTTGAGTTTAGTTTGATATTCTTTTGCTAGTTCCTAGGTTGTAAAGTTATGTTGATTCAAGCACTTGTTTCTTTTTACATGTAGATGTCTACTGCTGTAAATTTTCTTCCAAGAACTTCTTTTGTTGTGTATCATTATTTTGATAATTTAGTGTTTATTTTCATTTATCTCTCAATATTTTCTAATTTCCCTAATAATTTTTTTCTTTAACACACTGGTTGTTAAACACCATGTTGTTTGATGTTTAATTTTCTTCCTGTTACTGATTTCTAAGTCCATTATGTTGTGGCTTGAGAAGATATTTTGTATGATTTTGGTCTTAAAAATTATTCAAAAGTGTTTATTCTCTACCTGGAGAAAGTTGCACTTGAGAAGTTGTATATACTACTGTTGTTGAATAAAATATTCTCTATGTTTGTCAGGTATAGTAATATCTAGTGTTGTTCAAGTCTTCTGTTTCCCATTAATCTTTTGTCTAGATGTTTTATTAGTGAAAATTTGGTACTGAAATTTCTCACTATTTTTGTGTGAAATCTATTTGTCCCTTCAATGCTGCCAAATTTTGTGTCACATATTTTGGACGTGTATTGATTGGTGCACACACATTAATAATTTTATATCTTTGTGATGAATTCATCCTTGATTCCAATAGAAAATACCTTTATTTGCTTATCTTAAGAATTTTAGCATAAAATCTTTTTGTGGTATTAATATAGCCATTCCATCTTGCTTCAGCCAAAATTTGCATGGAAAATAGTTTTCTATTTTTTGCTTTCAGGATTACTGTTTCTTTTGGTATAAGGTGAGCCTCTTATAGACTGCATATAACTTTCTATTAAAGAGTCCATTCCTTCCAGACCTGTATTTTAAATGGCAAATTCAGTCCATGTTATATGCCCTTAGTATTTCCATTTACAGTGAAAGTGATAAGCTACATCAAAGGATTACTTCTGCTATAATGCTATTTTAAATTTGTTTTATATCTTTATTTTTCCCTCAATTCCCACAATATTGCCCTATTTTTGTCTGATCATTTTTTTATCTACTAAAACTTTTGATTCCTTCTTGACCTCTTTCCTGGTATATTTTGTTTCTTTTGTAGTAGTTTCCCTGAAAATTTCTGTTATATCATTCCTTGTACATCATTTTCTTCAGCTCTCTGAGGAAATGTAAGATATTTAAAGGTTTTTTAGTAAGTCCAATGTCTGGGCTTCCTCTGGGATGGTTTCTGTCAAATTCCTTTTTTAGTTGCTAATGCACTATATTACTTGATTCTTTATATGCTACGTAATTTTTGTTGAGAAGTAGACATTTCACATATTGTAAGGCATTAAACCTGAAAATAAGATGTTTTCATCGTCTAGCCATTGCTGATGTTGCTTGATGAATGCTTCAGTCATCAATTTGTTTAGTGACTTTTCCAAACTATTATTGCAAAGACTGTATTTTTTGTCTTATGTGATCACTTAAGTCATTGTACTGTTATTTCTACAGTCAGGTAATGATCTGACAAAGGTTTTCTTAAGTCCCTGGATTAAGCATCAAAAGGACAGAAAATAAAAGAGAAGAGTTTTTTCTCTTTAATTCATCACATGTAATGTCACTGGGGAAGTCGCTTGAGCCCGTGGGGATTGAAACATTGGCCAGCCTCTGTACTATTTCATCGACAATCAAACGATACAACCCCGATTTTTGAAGGAAAATGTTTCTATTGTCCAGTTTGGAACCAAGAAACTGCACCGGCCACACAGTACACTGTTCCCCAAATTGCCATGTAACAGCTATAAGGGATGTTAGCCTCTATGAAAGATGCCAAATTTACTGAAACTTACCAGTTGCTTTCTTTATCCCTTACTTCCCTGGGTGCTACAATTGTTTGACTAGGCTTTAGAGTCCCAAAATAATTTCTTCAGACAGATTATGCAGGGTCAATGGTTGCTTTAGTGCAGCCATTGATTCCTGAACTTCCCAATAATTGTGACATTACCCCAGTAATGCCACCATAAGAATATTAGCATTTCAATCTATGAAATAAATATCCTTCCATGTATTTAGATTTTCTTAATTTCTACAAACATTGTTTTGTATAGTCTAGCTTAATTATTATAGGCTATGTGCATATTACCTGAAAATCTCCAAATTCACTTCAACAGAATTGACATATTAATATTAGTCTATGAGCATAATGCTTTTCTTACTAAAAGTAATTTTTTTGAGACACAATCTGGCTCTGTTGCCAGGCTGGAGTGCAGTGGTATGATCTTGGTTCCCTGCAGCTTCTGCCTCTTGGGTTCAAGTGATTACCCTTCCTCAGCCTCCTGAGTAGCTGGGATTACAGGTGCCTGCCACCATGCCTGGGTATTTAAAAAAATGTAGAAATGGGGTTTCACCATATTGGCCAGGCTGATCTTGAACTCCTGAACTTGAGTGATCCACCTGCCTCAGCCTCCTAAAATGCTGTGATTACAGGCGTGAGCCACTCTGCCTGGCCCTGACTTAAAAGTAACTTTACGTTCATGAGTTTAGAAAACCGTGAAGCTGTTGGTACCGAGGGAGATGACTATCTTTGTCTAGCAAGTATAGGTTTTGAGAGTATTTGTTTTATCTTAATGGTGTTTATTACATAATATTGGACATGTCACATGTCACATGTAGATTATAAAAATATTATCAAATTAAGGCTGGCCTAGGGATTGGTTAGAAAATAATATATTGGTATATTTATGATTCCCTGTACTCAATATTAAAGACTGCCTCCTTATTGTCAATTCTGTGTCATATCATCTCAGTCCTAAAAGAAACTACTTATCTTTGCCAATTACTTTCTCTATCTTGACTTTCAACTAATGAGCACTTCATTCAGTTAGTCCCTTAGCCTTGGCATCTATCTGCATTATCCCTACTGTCTTCTTCTTTACCCTTTACGGGCAGGTGGTGCCTCAAATCTCTGTCTTAATGATTGCCATTTCTCTTCACTTTTTATATTCCTATTCGTTTCTGAAATTGTTCCCTAGAAAAAGTTGCAGGTTGCCTTCTATCTGGATTATAATTTTGCTGTCCTAATCTTGTCTTTGTGAATTGTGTCCCTTTCACTATATTTCATTCTAGGTTTTGTCATCACATTAGTGTTTACACACAATTTTAGCTTCATAATGAGTCTCTAGGCAATATTGAGCCTATGTAAATTTTTGACAGAAGAAGACAATTGCAAACTCATGATTCAGGCTTGTAACACCTTCCATGATATGGACCTAAATTACCTATTTCTATTAACTAAAATTATATTCATTTACTAATAAGAAAAAATAGTAAATAATGGCTTAACTAAACAGTGGATTTCTTTATCTCAAATACAAATAGTTTTATGGTGGGTCAAACTAGAAATAATATGGTATTCCTGAAGCATCATAGAGCCAAGTGTTGTATATTATTTTCACCATATTTAGTATTGAAGCTGTATTAACCCATTCTTGCATTGCTATAAAGAAATATCCGATACTGGATCATTTATAAAGAGAAGAGTTTTAACAGACTTATGGTTTCATAGATTGTACAGGAAGCATGGCAGCATCTGCTTGGCTTCTGGGGAGGCCTCAGGAAGCTTGCAATTATGGCAGAAGGTGAAGGGGAAGCAGGCATGTCTTACATAGCTGGAACAGAGAGAAAAAGGGGAGGTGCCACACACTTTTAAACAACCAGATCTTATGTCAACTCACTCACTATTGTGACATAGTACCAAGCAAGAAATCTGCCTCCATGATCCAATCACTTCCCACCAGGTCCTACCTTCAACATTGGGGATTACAATTCAACATGACATTTGGGTAGGAATGCAGATCCAAATCATATAAGAAGCCTTCATTTTTATGATTAAGTAGTCATGTCCCAAGATGATGTTTATCCTAACACCTCCTTCACATCTGTCTCTTGAGTAAGAAAGAGTAAATAGAAGACTCATACTATGGTTTGAATGTATCCCCTCAAGTTCATGTGTAAAAACTGAATGCCAGTTTATTAGGTGGAGCCTAATAAAATTGTTTGACCTTCTCTGGCTCACTCACTTACCCTTCCATGCCTTTCTTCCTTTTGCCATGTAATGACACAGCATGAAGGCCATTGCCAGAGGCCAGTGCAATGCTCCTGACCTTCTCAGGCTTCAGAACCATGAGAAACAAATTCATTTTCTTTATAAAGTTCCTAGTCTGTAATATTCTGTTATATAACACAAATTGTACAAAGACAGTGCACCAAAATGCTTCTGCATATATATATTTGGAAAAATAATATGATGTGTGGCTAACCTAAGCAGCAAAGAGTTTCATGAATGGAATTCATGGGCAAGCTGGGAAAACAGGGCAGGAAATGAAGTTTGGGTCAACTGATACACTGTTTCTGCCATACCATACCATACCATACCATACCATACCATACCATACCATACCATACCATACCATTGTTTTGTCTAATACTGTACTCTCCAGTCTCTTTTTTTGTCTAATTTTATAACATGAGTTTCAAAAAATCCAGTGTAATTAAATATGCTGGCACATAATTTTTCAGATAATTGCATGAAATTATTTCTAGGAAAAGGACAACCAACAGTCTGAATTCACTGTTGAAAACTTGGTTAGCACTGTATTTGACCTGTTTGTTGCTGGAACACACACAACAAGCACCACTCTGAGATATGGACTCCTGCTCCTTCTGAAGCACCCAGAGGTCACAGGTAGGACCACAGATGATGAACAAAGTGAGTTTCAGAACAATGCTGAGAAGATGGTGCCAGTGTCCTCCACCCTGTTTCTCTTAAAGAAGCTTCATTTTTTAAACTTCTCTGTCACTAGCTGTAATCAGTCTAAATTTAATGACATGATTAAGAAAGACATCCTTGCACAATGGAGGAGGAGACTGAGAGCAGTAAAATAGTGTGGCAGTAGCAAAAGCAATAGAGCTCTGGTGGTGTCAGGATTTCAGTGGAGGTAATTTGTGGTAAGCAGAGCCAGCATAAGTTGGCCTGAGACTGAATGTTGGTTTTATTACAGAAGTCCACTTTGAACAGTAGGTACATTATTGAAGATACCCTTTTCTCATTCTTTTTTTAATTCCATGCTCTAATGCTAGGGTAGGAAAATGAAAACTCTCTTTCCTGAAGCAAAAGTGGAAATCCTATCATTTTAGTGAGACTTCCTGAGGTAAATTTCAGTCTAGGAAGTAATCTAAAAAGTTAGACTAATAAAAAAGGTGTTCTGGGCCGGGTGCAGTGGCTCACGCTTGTAATCCCAGAACTTTGGGAGGCTGAGGTGAGCGGATCACTTGAGGTTGGGAGTTTGAGACTAGAAACCCCGTCTCTACTAAAAATACAAAATTAGCTGGGCATGGTGGCACATGTCTGTAATCCGAGCTATTCGGGACACTGAGACAGGGGAATCACTTGAACCTGGGAGGTGGAGGTTGCAGTGAGCCAAGATCGTGCTGTTGCACTCCAGCCTGGGCAACAAGAGCGAAACTCCATCTCAAAAAAATAAAAAATAAAAAAAAAAAATTAAAAAATAAATAAATAAAAAATAAAAATAAAAAAAAAAGAAAGGTGTTTTCATTTAGGCAGAGGATGCACTTAAGGAATTTTATTATTCCAGAAGTATGTTTCATAAAACTGGTGTTTGCCAAAATAGGAATTTTTTGAAGGAGGGGTAATAATTTTATCTTTTGCAAACAACTTTTATTTAGAATTTAGAATTTACCTCTAGAGTAAATTCCACCTTTCTTTAGAATTTAGATTTAAAGAGTTTCGGTTTTGCAGTAGATAACATACTTTTTCTCCCTGTGTCAGGATGTCACTGAAATTTCAATAACCTAATTAAAAATCAGAATTAGCCTTTTAATAAAAAGTGAGAAGAACAGGCAAGAGCCAACTAGTCTTTGACAAATTCCTGAAACACAGAGAGCAGTTAGAGGGGTGATAATGAACTCAGCACAGAGGATGAAGTTGTAACTTAACTTCAATATCAGAAGTTAACTGATAAATGTTAGAAGAGGACAATTTATCACAAGGAAACACTAATCTGTGTCACTACAATACCATAGGGTTCAGTATAAGAGGTATCGAGGGTCAGAAAAGGTAGGGAATGAGGTGGAAAAAGGAGGCTCTCTCACCCAGGTTTCCTCCACAGCTCCTTTTTTCAGGTAACTGATGTTCCCCCACAGGAAAAGGGAGGCTCGTTCTCTAGAGTAACTGAGCCTAATAAGCTCTGTACTCAGGGATGCTAGGCAGCGACAGGAAAGTGTGAGGTGTAGGGCTCAAAAGAAAGGTACAGAAAGGGTTTCCTGCTTGAATTCAGGGACTCAAATTGTTCACCCTCTTCCTTCTTGAAATTTATCAGCCAGATGTATTCTTCAGAGAGGAAACAACTCTCCAAATACAAAGGTCTAGGAAAGATCTCTGTATTTTGGTATCTGAATATCACCTCATCCGCAAATGTTCACTAGAGGGAATGAAACAAAAACTTCCACTCCAAGACAGAGGGTCATGGAATTTCAGAACACCAGGATTAAAGGGAAAATCAAAACCTTTCAGAGAGATATATCAGGTCATATATAAATGATTAGCATTCAGACAGTATCAGAATTCTCAAGCATAAATATTACCTTGTATATTAATAGAAAAAGGCTATTTTGAGACTTGAATGTTTGCCACAAACTTTACCCTTTCTTTAATAATAGAGGTTGTGTTCCATCCAAATGTCAGAAACCATGTCAGAAGTCATGATCTCCAGGAATTAGGAAATCTCATGTAGGAGAATGAGAGTGTCAGGGAGGCTGCTGGGCACCAGGCCTAGAAAACAAGCACTTCAGAAGGGACCAGGTGGATAACACAGGTGTGGGAGGAGACATCAAGGACCAAAGAGAGGAGAGCAATAGTCTGAGGTTTCTCTATGATTTGTAAATTATTACTAGGAGTTTGAAACATCTGCCTGAGCATTTGGAAACAATTCTAACTTGAAAATGGAAAACTATGATTTATGTAAAAAGACACTGTTAAATCCAAGAAAGTACCAAGTACAAAATGTAATCGTATTATCATTGTCTTACCAAGAAAGAGTAAATATGTAGTAGAAATATGTAAAGAATGAATAGTGATATAACCAGAAATTATGGCCTAAGGTATTCTGGTAAATAGAGGGAGGAGAATTGTGTGTGTGTTTATGTGTATATGTGTGTGTGTGTATATATCAGTTTGCGGATGTGTGTCTATATATGGGGTGAAGACAGAGATGAAAATTATTATCTCCCATACCAGTAAACCATTAAATATTGTCTAAAAATTGTTTAGGAAAACAATAGAAACAGAGAGTCATTATTTAGAAATATAAATATAAATTTCAGAAGAAAGTGCTAGCATGCTCAGAGTGGCCACATTTGGGAAGTGTAAGAATGAAGAGAGTACCACAGCTAATTGCACACCTCCTTCCTACACAAACACACAAAAACACATACATATATATATATATAAAAATTCATTCAAAATTACAGTTTTGAATTCTTCAAAATTCAAACCGAATTGTTTGAATTTCAAATTCAATTTGAATTGTTCAAAATTAAACTGTTCAAAATTAGTTTAATTTTGAACCCCATATATTATGTTGGTATACATGTAATACTGAATTTCTGTTTTTCTTTTTGTGAGCACTGTAATTTCTTGACTTATGTTGTTTATTTTTGAAATAACTTATTATGTTTTTATGAATTGTCATGTATACTAATTTATAGGAGCGTGCTTATGCATTGTGATGCTTACTTTGTAGGAGACTGGTATGTATCCATACTCTGGCAATTCTCTATATGGTTCTGGGCATGTAATCATGTTTGTAATGCTGTTGGGACCCCTACCTGATGGTTTATGAGCCATTCACTGCTATGACAAATGTGCCACATATCTTCTTTTTTCATCAGCTCTTACTTGTGTCTTATCAGCTAAAGTCCAGGAAGAGATTGACCGTGTAATTGGCAGACACAGGAGCCCCTGCATGCAGGACAGAAGCCACATGCCTTACATGGATGCTGTATTGCATGAGATCCAGAGATACATTGACCTTATCCCCAATGGCTTGCTTCATACAGTGACCTCTGACATTAAATTCAGAAACTACCTCATCCCTAAGGTAAGCTTGTTTCTCCTACATCGTACTTCTGTGCTTTTGAAATTCTCAAATTCCCAGTGTGGTCCCAATCCTCTACCAACACAAGATGAGAGAAGTACAAAGCTTATACATGTGGTGGTTTGATGGACTTTCTGCTATTTCTTTTGGTACTATAAAGATTTATAAAATTGTATAATATATATCTTTAATATTGTTTGGGCTACTCTGTGTTTATACTTTCAAATAATTGTTGAAAATATTGGTGTCAATTTCCCAAACACTCTTTTGGGATTTTTATCAGGATTACATTAAATCTACAGTTCAATTTGGAAAGACCATCTTAATGTGTTGAAACTTTCAATTCATGAATATGATTATGCTCTCAATTTATTGGCTTTCTTCTATTTTCTCAGTAATGTTTTGTTTTCAGTGCACTGACTTGCAACTCTTCTGCTGAATTTTTCCTAGATAAATAATGTTTTGTTGTTTTTATAAATAAAGTGCCTTTTTCATTTCTTTGTACCCAGTATTTGGAAATATATTTTATCATTCTGATGACATTATACCTAGCACCTTTGCTAAATTTACTAATCATCACAAACTACTAATCATTTTTTGTCTGCAGATGCATTTGGAATTTCCATGTATCTTATTCTGCTACCTGGGTTAATATTTATTTTATTTATTTACTATTTTCCAATTCTTGTGTCCTTAATTTATCTTTATTGCATTATTGCACTGGCTAGGTTATTCAGAATAGTGTTAAACAGAACAGAATAGTGTTGAACAGAATTGATGATAGAAGTCATCCTTGTTTCATTTCTGATCTGCAGGGAGGGGTGGAGGTTTAATGTTTCACTATTGAGAATGGTGCTTTCAGTAGATTTTGGTAGATATTCCTTATCAGATTAGGGAAGTTTTCCCTCTTGTCTTATTTGTATATACATTTTTGTGATGAACATGTGTACAATTTTATGAAATTGATTCCCTGAATGTGTTTGTATGATTTTATATATTGGCCTCACTATCCTCACTAAATACACATAAGTATACATGAGCAATTGGATTTAATCTTCTACATACTGTTCAGGACTTCTGTATTTTTATTTACAAGAGAGTTGGTCTCCAGTTCTTCTCCCTCGAAATTTTCTTTTCAGGGTTTTAAAATCAAGGTAATGTTGGGTGCATAAAACTTCTTGAAAATGATTCCATAATGTGGGTCTGTTTTTGTTGTCTTCCCTTTCTTCCACTTTCTTTTTGTGATCACTCAGTTGTACCCTTGAAATACTTAAAACTTATGGCTAACTACCAGATATTACATATGAAGAAATGCAGAATTTCAGTGGATGTTTATCTTCTTCCAGAGTAGATTCATTCCTCTCCCATAGGCAGTCAGAATAACTTACCTCCTGTCCTGATTCAGAACTGATGTGAACACTGTTGAAAATTCACTGCAGATATTAGCTTAGCTCTCTGAGGGTCTACTATCACTGGAACCTTGGGACAAAATTTTGTCTTTTTAGCTCTGTAATGCCTTCTATCATATAGTTTCTGTATTGGTTTATAGTTACAATGCCATAAGCTTACTCTATTCCACTTATTATTATCATTAAATTAAAAATAATATAACTAAAAGTTGTCTTTCCATGGGAAAAACAATGATATTGGTAAGCTTGTCTGGAAAAGACAGAATTGGCAACTTACTAGGAAGTTTTGGCGCTTGCTCTAATCACCAATTTGTTATAACGGTTCGGACTTGAATTGTCTCTGTGTTCACTAAAGCACACAACCAAGAGAGACTTTCATTTCTCAATATTAGGATCTATCTATACCTCAATACTTCAGCATATATGTCCCAAGAACAAAAATTTTATTCTACATAATAATAACAGTATTCACAACCAGGAGTTATTAATAACATTATATTAATTAATATACAGCCTGTATTTAAATTTATCAACTTTTCTAGACTATTTTATGGCTTTTTTTCTTTTGAAATTTGCTATCCAGGCAAGGAACAGCACATAATTCAGCTATCACATGTTTGTAATCTCTTGTAATCAAGAACAGTACCTTTCCCTTCTTTGTTTCCTTTCAGTATCTTAACTTTTTGAAGAGTCTCAGCCAGTAATCATTTAACCAGCAGCCTGTTCCTCAGATGGCTTTGTGTGACTGTTTCATAGAGCTAGATTCTGGTTGTGATTTTGGCAAGAAAATTACATAGTATCCCACTGAATGTTATTGGTCAGGTGGGGGCATATAATATTACATATGCCATTGTAGGTTATTCTAAGTCTCTCATTTAATAAGGTGGTGATTGCTGGAGCTCTTTATTGCAGAGGTTCTGCTTTTTTTGTAGGTCATTAATAAAAATCTGTGACAGTACTTTAAGACTGTGTGAAAATACTGCTTCCAAAATCTCACACCCAGTAGTTTTAGCTTTAATTGATGATCCTTGCCTGACCTGATGATTCTGACCTGAATTGTTAAAAAATAATGATTTTTAAAATTTCATTGTCCCTTCTGTGGATTTAAGTTAGAGTTAATCTGGAATGAATAGCTTCTGCATATTTTTGAATAAAGACAAACAAACTTCATGTTAATGATAAACCCTCAATGGTGTTTACTTCTTACTGTATTTATTGCTGTCATCCTAGAAGATATAATTTTAAAGTAGATTCAATATTTACTTACAGAAGTCCTATTAACAGATACTCTGGAAATTTCCAGCATCAACAGAGACTCCCATTTTAAATCATACTCAACATATGAGATGTGTGAAAACTGAAGTGATGAACTAGAGCAGGAAGTGAGGATACACACCTTTGCCCAAGCTTGATGATAGGGAGAACAAATTCAGAAGCTTGCACCCAAGTGTCCAAGTACTTAAATTTTCAGATATGATTGGGAAGCCCTTTAACAACATTCTGCCACTGGCCTTAAACCCATTTCTGTTTATTACTGTGTCTGGTAGACCTTAGTTTCCTCATCTAAAGGTAAATGCTATTGGACTATGTGATGTCCACTATTTCTTTTCAACTCTGGACTTCTTTATAACTCATATTATCTGTTCTGTTACTTCCAGGGCACAAACATAGTGCCATCACTGACTTCAGTGCTTTACGATGACAAAGAATTCCCCAACCCAGAGGTATTTGACCCTGGCCACTTTCTGGATGAGAGTGGCAACTTTAAGAAAAGTGAAAACTTCATGCCCTTCTCAGCAGGTAATGGAAATTCATTCCCATCTGTACTTTAGGGAACAAGGTAATTTGGGGGAATCTATTGGAACATATGTGGCATCTACTCTGGAGCTGGTAGAATTGCTCTTTGTCCATGATTAGGAGCATGACTTCCAATCCTTGTGTGCTCCACCCTCATAATACAACCTCATTATTGGGATAGATTAGTGGGGCTTTGGGGAGTTAACCCCTTTCTTCCCAGTTGAGAACACTGAAGTGTAGGTTGGTTGAATTCTGTCACTAGATACATCACTGAGGTACCCAAGAGCTCCACATAGGAGATGAGACTCATTTAGACTTTCATCACCTGCCATGAGGAAGATATCTAAGTCTACAACTCCACTGACTATCTTCCACATGGTGTCCCTCACCCCATAGGCTGAACTCTGAGGATACAAGAAATAACCATAAGCACAGAATGGACTATAAAGAGTCTCACTGCCAAGTTAGGGAAGCAGATCATTGTACTTCAGTAGAACTAGGGCTATGAGAGAGGAAATCGCAAGCTTCTGGGTGATAGACAATAGAGGGAGAACCTGCGTGCTTTTTGCTCCTCATGCCTCACAGTGAGGCATAAAATGAGCTAAGCAACATTCTAATAACAGAAATGATGTCTGAGCTGCCTCAAAGGAGACAGAGACAGAGAAAATGTAAGAGAAGGTATAGCATTTTCCTTTTCCTTTTTACTTTTTTTGTGTGACAGAGTCTCACTCTGTCACTCAGACTGGAGTGCAGTGGTGCAATCTCAGCTCATTGCAACCTCCACCTCCTGGGTTCAGGCAATTCTCATGCCTTAGCCTCCTAAATAGCTGGGACTGCAGGTGCATGCCACCATGCCTGGCTAATTTTTTTGTAGTTTTAGTAGAGACAGGGTTTCACCATGTTGGCCAGGCTGGCCTTGAACTCCTGGCCTCAAGTGTTCCACCCGCCTCTGCTTCCCAAAGTGCTGGAACTACAGGCATGAGCCGCAGCACCCAGCTGGCATTTTCAAGGAGGTAATAAATGACAGGGCAAGACATTTGCTCTAAATAAAGGATGTCAGAACCTTTGCCAAACAACCGTGGGGTTACAGAAACATTGGGAATGTAGTAGGATACTTTGCTGTGATTCCAGACCATCTTGCACTTCCTCCAATCATGATCATGTATCTTGGATGCTGAATTTTCACACCTGCATTTTGTGTGGTGAGTCTCTGGCCATGGAATCTCCTTCTTTTATCCTGTGACCTTTGATGTCTGCTTTATATTTTTTACTGTAGATACCAAGTCGACAAGGTCAGAGACCTGTCTTCAAGAATTCACATTTTTGCACAATAGAAAAATAAATAAATAGGGAATAATGATTATATGTGATCCATGCTTCAATGAAAACATTAATATGACATTGTGGAAACCTAGACAGTGTAAGATATTATTACTTGAGGGAATTTAAAGAGTGTAAAGAGGAAATGAAATTTGACCTATGTTCTGAGTGCAGCATAACAAAGGTACACCTTGACCAGAAGGAAAAATATGATGTAAAACTTGAACTTCATGGTGCGTTGCGGATTGATAAAGTGTGTGTATGGCTAAAGCTGAGAGTAGAGGGTGTGAAGGGTTGGAGGAAAGATCATGGAATATCAGGCTTGGAACAGGAAACAAGTGTTTCTATAAAGACTGATGGAAACTCAAAATATCAAAACAGCTGTTATAATGTGGGAATGCCTAATGAAGTGCTTGTTATGGAGCTGACACTCAATGAATATTTGTTGAATGGAGGGTGCCTATTAAGATCAGAAGCTAGAAAGATAGCAAGTATGTTCATTCTTTATTCATTTGTCCATACAAACATCCATACATCCATCTGTTTCATGCATTCACCCACTCATCCATCCATCCATCCTTCCGTTTATCTATCTATCCACTCAATCATTTATCAGATATTTACTACATATTCTATTTGTGCAAGTCATAAACAGATTGTCATAGTCACAGTTACACACAAGGAGTAACTACAATCTCTGTTTATTATTTTCAGGAAAACGGATTTGTGTTGGAGAAGGACTTGCCCGCATGGAGCTATTTTTATTCCTGACTACCATTTTACAGAACTTTAACCTGAAATCTCTTACTGATTTAAAGGCCCTCAATGCCACTCCCACTGCCAAAGGACTTGTTTCTATGCTACCTTCATACCAGATCTGCTTCACTCCTGTCTGAAGAAGGTTAAGTCACCTGGCTACTGATCTTTTGTCACCTGCAAGTCTTTTTTAATTTTTTTTAAATCAGGGAGAGTTCCAATATTAGGGATATCTTTTCTGACCTCTAATCACATTTTCCCATTCCCTGAAGATGCATTGAACATCCGATCTTCATTAAGGAGACTTGCTTGGGTCATTGCATAAATATATCTGCTATTATTAATATTCTGTATTACTTTTATTGACTGCTACACATACTAATAATTTGTGCTGAGTTTTTAATGTTTTCGTTATAAAACAGAGAAAAATGATTACCATATCATAATTCAGATTCATTTCTTCTGTGAATATTCTAAATGAAAAGTGTTACTAATTGCTAGCTTATTCTCAGATTTTTCCTCTTTTGTCCATAATAATGCAAGAAAGAAATGAAACAGAGTATCAGCCATGCTGTCCCTCATAATGATAAGCATAGAGAGGGACAAAGGGAAGGAGGGTGGGGAAGCTTTCTTGGCTGCGTGTTATCTAGAGTTTCTCAAGGTTTGGATTTGAGAAAGAAGGTCTGTCAAAGAGCAAAACTAACCTTTAGGGAAATATTAAAAGGATAAGTGATAAGTAGGAATGAACATTAAGTGTCAGAACTCATGCCCTTACTTAGGTGTTACTGTCCACACTAAATACAAATTTGAAATATTATTTTTACTTCATGTTTCCAACTTAGAATTAAGTATAAATATATGCTCTCAAATTGCTACTCATGTGTTCTGAATGTTATTCTTCTCTCCCCAAACAAGAACAAAATCTCTGCAAAGCCTCAGTAGATTATATTATTTTTCTAATTTATACCTCATTGTTTCACACTTATCATTAATGTGATGATCATTTGATTCTATGGCCCTGAAGTGATTAGCCTCATTTTATCTCCAAAATATACACAATTGAACATCTAACACACATCAAATTCTAGTCATCCATTCCCATTCCTTCTATTTTCAAGTTTATGAAATGAGAATGGACATCAGTGATTACTCTTTGTGAGCTTATCTTCCAGAGGAAGTCACTTTGTCATGCATTTTAAGCTATTATGTAAGTGTACTGATGTACATATATGTATATATGTATCTATACACGTATGACTGCATAAATATATATTCACTCATTGTATATATTATATACACACAAATACATATGCTATTAAGTGTGGTTCTTTATAAAATTGGGCTCATACTACACATATTTTCTACAACTTGATGTTTTTCTAGTAAACAATATACCAGGAACCACCCCAATATAATAAAAACATGGAAAAATGATTCTAATGAACACATTGGAAAAGAAAATGGAAATGGTTATTAAACATGAAAATAGCTTAAAAACAAAAAAGTATATATTATATGTCTTTTAAACATTCTTGAGTGGAAAATGAAAATATGTTCATGTAAGCATTGGTCAAGGTGTGGACAAACAGGCACTCTTGTATATTTATACAGAAGGCCAACTTCTCAATGAGGCATACATTGAGTACCTTACTGAAATTTGTAATCTTCCCTCCATCACCACCTTTCCCCATCAGTCAACTTTTGGTTCCCTTTACATTTCTTTTTGGAATTTTGCATGTTTTGTGTTAATCTTTCTTATAAACCTAGGAGGTATGTAAAATTTGTGTTAGATTCCATGAGTACTATAACAAATTAGAACGAACTTAGTGGTTTAAAATAATGCAAATGACTTTCTTACAGTTCTGAAGTTTGAAGGTCCAATATCAGTTTCACTGGGCTAAGATCAAGGTGTTGAGTAATGTGTTTCTGTACTCACTGGTTTTCCTGTCTGAACAGGCTTCCTAAGGAGTAGAATTTATTTTCCCCGCCTTTTTTATTTTTGTTTTTTTTGCGTTCTAGAGGTTGCCCAACATTGTGGCTATCTCATGAGTCCTCTTGGCTTGGGTATCACATCTTCTACTATGCCACTCTTATACCTGCCTATTTCCGCTCTTAGAGAGGATCAATGTGTTTCACATTTGGGCGCGCACTCTGGATTAATCCTAGGTGTATCATTTGCCCATGTCATATCCTTAGCATTAATACATTTGAGTGTTTCTTTACCATGTAAAGTATACATTTATAGGTACACAGGTTGGCTAGGATTAGGATACTTTTGTGAGGAGATGAGGTTATTATTCAGCCTATACACTACAGTTATACCCATTTTATCACCCAAATAACTGAGATGATGTTTTGTTATGAGTCTTTGCTCAAGGTCAGACAGTTTTAAGTGCAGAGACCAGAATGGAACCAATGCTATCTGACTGAAAAGTGGAGTTGCTAATCACTTTGCTATTAACTCTTTTTCCTCCCAATTTTGGCTAAGATAAAATACACATAAATAAATTCACTATCTTAAACATTTTTAAGTGTACAATGTTTTTTGGTTTGGCTGTGTTTCCCCATCCAAATCTCATGTGAATTGTAATCCCCACGTGTAGAGGGAAGGAGGTGATTGGATCATGGGGGGCGGTTTCTCCCATGCAGTTACATGATCGGAGAGTGACGTTCTCATCGATGTCTACATGGCTTTATAAGCGTCTGGCATTTCCCCTGTTTGCACTTCTCTCTCCTGCGACCATGTGAAGAAGGTCCTTGCTTCCCTTTCGCTTTCTGCCATGATTGTACGTTTCCTGCAGCCTCCTCAGCCATATGAAACTTAGCTAATTAAATCTTTTTTGTTTGTAAATTACCCAGTCTCTGGTATTTCTTTATAGCAGTGTGAAATTGGACTAATGCAAGGGCAGTGGTATTAAATATATTCTAATTTCTAATGTTATTCAACCACCATGCTCATTCATCTCTGTAACTTTTTTTATCTTATAAAACTGAAACTTTATACCCATTGAATAATAACTCCCATTTCCCTGTCCCCCAGCTTCTAGCAATCATTTTACTTTCTATCTCTATGATTTTAACTATTCTAAGTTCCTCATGTAAGTGAAATCATACAGTATTTCTCTTTTGGTAACTGGTTTATTTCATTTATCATAATGTCCTCAAGATTCATCCATGTTGTGTGCTGTTAACTCTTATTGTGTTTATTCTTTATTGATTATTTTCTTTCAATACAATACATGTTTCATGTTCAGCTGGCACAGGATTGACGCCTAGTGGAACCCAGCTGAGTGATCTGTGCAGTGTGGTGTTTTCCAACTGGCCAAGGTGTCTGCAGGGCCCTCAGAATTTTCCAAGCAAGAAGAGATTTGGGTACTTGGAGAAACTTCATCCTGCTGGAGGTCTGGATTAGTGGTAAACTCTTGTGATTCTAAAGCATTCCATAGCAGAACCCACTGATGATGACAAACTGAACCTTGGTGTCCCTGGATTAGTGGGAGGTGGTGAAAGGATTCTGTGATAGTTCAGGTGTTCACAGCTCTCTTGCTTTTGGCAGAATTTCTTAGGTAGTCAAATAAGTATTTTTTTTTAAAAGAATTTAAAATTTTAAAGAGAATTACCATGTCATTTAGCAATTCTACTTCTGGATACATATCCGAAAGAAATGAAAGTAACTTATCATAGAGCTATATCTGCACCCATGTTCATAGCAGCACTATTCACAATATCCAAAAAGTAGAAACATCACAAGTGACCATTGAGGAAGTAATGTGGTACAAATATACAATGGAAGATTATTCATCCTTAAAAGAAAGTAAATTTTGACACATGCTATACCATGAATGAAATTTAAAGATATTCATGCAAAGTGAAATAAGACAATCACAATCATACAAAATACTGTGTGACTGGCTTATCTAAGGTACCCAGAATACACAAGTTCATAGATACAGAAATTTTCTATGGGTTGTTATATGGGTGGTTGTTAGGAATAGGAGGAAATTGAGGATGGGTAGTTACTGTTTAATGATACAAAGTTCAGTTTTGCAAGATGAAAAGAGTTCTTGAGACAGTGATGTTGGTTACATAATAATTTGAATGTAATTACAGGTGCTAAAATATACACCCTAAATGATTAATATATTTAATTTTATGTTACGTATATGTTACCACAGTTAATAAAATGTCATTCATGTCTGAAAAAAAGCACTACTTATATTATCCAGACATTAAAATAGAATCAGAATACTTAGTGTTTATTGAACAGAGCTACCCTGAAAATTATATTAAAATGAAGATGCAAAAGAGTGTAAAAGAAACCATTCATAGAGCATGTGCTGGTGAAAAGCTGTGCCCTCAAATACCTTACTCCTTGCAATTCCTTTTTATAGGCATCACCTCCAGAATCTACTTGATGTGGATGACTCTGACTTCGATGAACTGTTTTCCTGTGAGTAATTTCTCCAGTTTAGACAGAGCTATCCATGGGAAGGTGAGTCTGATCAAACTACTTGACCATGATCAGAACAATCTGCCTCCCCATTTCATCATCAAACTGTAATTTTAAAAGCCCCACTTTAATTTAAAAAGCCCCACTTTCTGTCCCTCCCCATAGCTCCTCCCTCGCCCACCAAAATGAGTCACTAGGGGCAGTGGTGGGCAGATGATTTCAGATATCCTGATCTCAATTCCCTGATCTCAGTACGTCTGCAAATTCTTTTTTTTTTTCAACTTTTATTTTAAGTTCTGGGGTACATGTACAGGATATGCAGGTTTGTTACATAAGTAAACATGTGCCATAGTAGTTTGCTGCAAAGATCATTGCATCACCTAGGTATTAAGCCCAACATCCATTAGTTATTCCTCTTGAAGCTCTGCCTCCCCTGGCTCCCTGCTCTGGGAGGCCCCAGTGTGGGTTGTTTCCCTCTATGTGTCCATGTGTTCTCATCATCCAGCAAATACTTATAAGTGAGAACATGTGGTATTTTGTTTTCTGTTCCTGCATTAGTTTGCTAAGGATGATGCCTTCCAACTCCATCTGTGCCCCTGCAGAGGACATGATCTCATTCCTTTTTCTAGCTGCATAGTATTCCATGGTGTATATGCATCACATTTTCTTTATTCAGTTTACCATTGATGGGCATTTAGGTTGATTCCATATCTTTGCTATTGTGAGTAGTGCTGCAATAAACATATACATGCATATATCTTTATAATAGAATGATATATATTCCTTTGATATATAATAGAATTTTATATATATATATCTACTAATGGGATTGCTAGGTCAAATGATATTTCTGCCTCTAGGTCTTTGAAAAATCACAACACTGTCTTTCACAATGCAACCACTGTGAAACTAATTTACACTCCCACCAAGAGTGTAAAAGTTTTCGTTTTTCTCCACAACCTTGCCAGCATCTGTTGATTTTTGACTTTTTAATAATAGCCGTTCTGACTGGCATGACATGGTATGTCATTTATATCATTGTGGTTTTGATTTGCATTTCTCTAATAACACATTTATTATTAAGGAACTTTTCTTCACATATTTGTTGGCTGCATGTGTATCATATTTTAAGAAATGTCTGTTCATGTTCTTCACCACTTTTTAACAGTGTTGTTTGTGTTTTAAATTTGTTTAAGTTACATGTGGCTTCTGGATATAAGATCTTTGTCAAATAGATTGCAAAAATTGTCTCCCCTTCTGTAGGTTGTCTGTTCACTCTGATGATGGTTCCATTTGCTGTGTGGAAGCTCTTAAGTTGCATTAAATCCCAGTTGTCAATTTCTGCTTTTGTTGTAATTGCTTTTGGAGATTTCATCATGAAATCTTTTCCTGTATCTTTGTCTTCAATGGTATTGCCTATATTTTCTTCTAGGGTTTTTATTTTAAAATTATACTTTAAGTTCTGGGGTACATGTGCAGAATGTACAGGTTTGTTATATAGGTATACACATGCCATGGTGGTTTGTTGCACCCATCAACCCGTCATCTATATTAAGTATTTCTCCTAAAGCTCTCCCTCCCCTAGCTCTCCCTGTGTGTGATGTTCCCCTCCCTGTGTTCATGTGTTCTCATTGTTCAACTCCCACTTATGAGTGAGAACATGTGGTGTTTGGTTTTCTGTTCCTGTGTTAGTTTGCTGAGAATGATGGCTTCCAGCTTCATCCATGTCCCTGCAAATGGACTCATCTTTTTTTGTGGCTGCATAGTATTCCATGGCAATATGTGACACTTTTTCTTTATCCAGTCTATCATTGATGGGCATTTGGGTTGGTTCCAAGTCTTTGCTATTGTGAATAGTGCCCCAATAAACATACATATGTGTGTGTGTGTCTTTATAGGAGAATGATTTATAATCCTTTGGGTATATACCCAGTAATGAGATTACTGGGTCAAATGGTATTTCTATGACCAGTGATGATGACCTTTTTTTC